ACTTTCTTCGATTCTCTATACATCTTTTGTACCTTACGGATGAATTAAGTAAGGCATAGCATGTGTCTCTACCAAAATTTTTTTTTCAATTCTTCCACTTGTTGGAACATACAACCTACCATGATAATGCCAAACATCATCATTATCCATGAACAATTCGATTTTTTCCCTCCATCATTTTTTTTTAACTTTAACAAATTCGACATCAAGCAATTGTTCCTTCTTAATCATCCGCATCAAATTTGGTTCTAACACCATTGCACACAACAAACTACTATTGTCCCCTCTCGACATAACCTTCCATTGTAACTTCTCTATGTCTTTGATAATTGTGACTTGCATTGTAGCCTATGTCTTTCAATTTAAAGCATTCATCATGACATTTGCTTTACTTGGGTGATAATGGAAAACAATGTCATGATCCTTGATATATACATTATATTATTCTTTTATTCTTCTTACATTTAGTTTATTTGCTATGTTTTATGTCTTAACGGGTTAATTAATATTCTTATTTATTTATAAGACATAAATTTAAAATTAGAGTAATTGTGCTTAAAAGTTAAGAATTTTAACATGTTTTTACTTAGACCTTCTACCTTTTTTCGGGTTTTCAGTACATTTAGCATTGGAATTGGAAATTGTGGTCTTAAAGCTCTTATAAAGGACATATCAACCTTTCCATAATGATACGGTGAGTTGAAATCCAAGTTCGTTGGGGCCTCTAAAAGTGATTCAAATTCTAACTTCGAAAAAGCTGGTTGAATCCTAACCAGATTAGGATTTCTATCCTATATAGTTTTGATAATTAATTTATGTATGGAGTTCTAGATGTCCAATTAAAGCAAATCTAAACCTAGTAAAGAGTTAAGACTCATATTTATAACTTTGATGAAGGACTCGAGCCCAAAGAAGTTCGGTTTAGAGTCGAAAGTTAACCGGCAAGTTAATTCCTTATTCTAGTTGAATTAATTGATATAGTTCGAGTAGTTGGCCCATAACTTAAGTTTTAGGCCTTTTTTTTTAAAAAGGCCCGATGTGTCAAAAAGTTAGGGAATTGGGCTATAATTTCCTTATGAGAGTAACATCAAATTCAAAATACATCTAGTCCATATGTGGTAACAAAAATAGAATATGAAATCGGGACCTTAATTTCCGGGAGATAACTTAGGAGTAATGACTTTCAAACTCTATCATTAAATAACTTATGTTTTTTTTTTTTACCGTATGTGTGGTTATTATTCTCTTTTTTGCCTCCTCCATCTTATTTATATAAGGGCAACATCTTTGTCCTCTTAGGATAATGAGTTGAAATATGGGTAAGCTTTTTGATCTTATCCTTATAAACCCTAAGCCTTATCCAATAGGGCTTAAGTTTATCCTCTCATCAAAATATTTTTTAGGCTTTTAAATTATACCTATTGGCCCAAACTCTTTTGGTTCAATTAATTACCCATTAATTTGGACTATTTAAATAAATTGTGTTAGATATTTTAAGAAAGCCCTCATTAGGAAATAATTTCCTAAATTACCCGATAACCTAAAATTAGGAAACTAATATCTTTTTTGGATAACTTACTTTCAAATTTGAAACTGACTTCTAAATTAGAAAATTGATTTCTAAAATAGAAAACTTTCTATTTTAGGAAAATTTTTCCAAAACAGAAAACTTTTAAAGCTGGAAACCTTTTCCAAAATATTTGCTTCTCTTTTATTATATAAATGCTTAAGCTTATGTGTGTGACTCAATAGGTCCTAGATATGTTGGAAATGTTTCAAGAATAAAAGACACCTCTTTTTATCTCATGATACATAAATTAAGATTGATCTCTAGTAAGACATCATGACTATCCAATTCTATAGCGGCATTAATTAATCCACAATTACCTTTCATAAGCATGGTTACCATATAATTCGAGTCATCATTTCAATTTATCACAATGTGATCCTAAAATTAGTTTATAGTGTATTCAATTATAATCATATGAGTTTTTTTATTCCCAAATGGCTCAGCTTTAAAGTAAACCAACTTTGCTCTATTGGTATACTCCTACTATGGCCATTGATTCCTCGAGTAGACATTTATCGAAGTATAATGTGATAACTTTTTTAACATATAAGAAATGACATGTCTTATCTTATTCATCTACCTATCTCCATTAGATTCCTAGTGCACCTAACGAATCGCTCACGTGCGACTCTTGACTAAGCCAATCGAAATAAGTGTCAAAGTACATAAATCCTCTAATGAGATAACCGTGATGACTTCAAGTCAAATGATCACTCGCACCTATCTCGTATAAGATTCCCATAGACTAAACCGGATGGGTTCTTATGGTGAGTCAAGTCCGGTGATATATTTTCTAATATTAATCACCTATGTGCTTGTTTTGGCATCACATTGCTAATAGGTGTGAGATTTTCTACTACTATGTTATAGCATGAGCTTAGCACTCACAAGTCTTACTATATATAGGTAATGTCTATTCTTAAAAATGCTACAACTTAAGACATTTAATGATATCATTTAAGAGCATTAATGTTTGTCTCATATTTTTTTATTAATCATTAATGCGAGTGCATATCATATAGACTTCTATTTAATTCTATCAAAATATAAACAATGAGAATTAATAGAAAGACTTCTTTTTATTAATAAAATAAAGAATGCAACATTACAATAAGTCAAATCATCCAAACAATATTGGATTTTGAACATCTACACTAATAGATTAGACCTTTTTAACCATTTTTTGGACACAAACATTTGATAATGGGGCTTACATTATTGTTCCATAAGTATAGTTAATGAACATATCAATCTTGAATTAGGGAACTACTCAAATAAAAAACTTACAAATTGGTACACTTAAATAGCAAAAATCAAAATTTATACACTTAAATTAAAAAAAAGGATAAGTATGTAAAAAAAAATTGATTGTGGGACTTCATATATCGGTGCCACATGTTTAGTTAATAGCTACATCGGTATAAAATTAACAAAAGTTAACAAAAATATTTGATTAGAAAAAATTATAACTTGATCTACTCAAATATTAAATATTAAAAATTACACACTAGATTAAAAAAAATGATAATTTAGTAAACCAAAAATGTAATTAATGCTATACAATTCTATTAAGTTTAAAAACATTTTCTTAAAAATGTTTTAAGTAGAAAAACATTGTACTTTATGGTAATCTAGACATCTTAATATACAAATAAAATAGTTAAAAATATATATGCTAAATTGACATATTTACTATTTTTAATCTAAATATATTTTTACAAAAACATTTAAACAACATTATCAAAAACACACTTACCTTCTAATATTGTTTTGGTTAAATTACTAAAAACACCTTGTATTTAGGTGGCGGGAACACCTTATACCCCTATTTTCTAAATATTATACTTTACATTCTCTTTTTTATGAAGAATTTTCATATCAATGAATTATGAATTTACAACAATAGCCTCGTATATATAATTAACTCCAACATGTTAGGTAACTATAACTATCCCTTTCCTAACTTGACTTTCTCTCTCCTATTCATCTCTCTATTGAAGAGAGAGAAGATGCATAAAAACATAGTTGAAATCAAGTTAAGCACACCCAAATCTATTGAAATCAAGTTGTTTTATTGTGTGTTTTTATTAATTAAATGTTTATGTTGTTGTCGAATTGAAGATGAATTGAGGAAGATTCGAAGGTAAAAATGAGGTACGTGAATCTTAACCTAATTTAGAAATTTTTTTTGAAACATAAATGTATTTAATCCATAAAAGATTAGGATTAACATTACTTTTATCTAATTCCAAGAAAAACCTAAAAAAAAAATTGAGTGTTTTGAAGGTTTTTTCATATGTGATTGAAAATTCCATAAGAACCTTAATTTTTTAAATGTTTAATTTTTACCTTTAAACAATTTTTTTCTCCTTTAATTAGTTGTTTCAAGCAAAACCCTAAACTTATTTGTGTTTTTAACTTTTTTTAAATTGTTAATTTGAAATTCTCAAAAAACCCTCATTGTTAAATTTTAATTTTTGCCTTCAAGATGGTGTTAAATTTTTAGATGCTTGGTTGAGATTTGTTGATGATACTAAGGCAATCTTGTTTCATTGTTCCTTGCTTTAATTTTCCATTGGCCTCAGATCAAGATTTTGGGATAGCAACCTTTGACATACCTCCTTATGTTTGTAAGAATTCTTGTATCCCTTATCTTAATAAAATCTAATAGTATTCTTAGTAAAATCTAATGGTATTGATTGATTTTAAAATGAGTAACCACGCATGCAGCTTCTGCTGGTTATGGATTTGATGATAAATGAGTGATGATTGTAGCTGCAAGTGAGGTAATTTACAACAACGGGGGAGCGTGTGGGCAATCTTACCGAGTAACTTGTGTTAGTGGGACAAACGAGGACACCCCCATTCCTTTGCTGAGGGTTTTTTCTTCATTTCTATAATGAAGAAGTTACTATTAATATTTTTTATTTTTGGTTTTTTTAATACTTGTAATGGTAAACTACGTTTTTTTTTAATTGGAAATTTGACACTGAAAACATAATTATTATACAAAGTAATTTTTTTATACAAATATTAAAATCTTGAAGTGTAAAGTATAATATTTGAAAAGTAAAAGTGCAAAAGATTTCCGCTACTTAAATACATGATGTTTACATTAAAAAAAAAAGTTTTTGGTGAAAAAACTTAAGAATTCGTAAGAAATCACCTGCTTGTAGCCTAATCTACGATGATTTTTTTTATCACAACATGATTATCCTTCTAGTTATTAAGATATTAGTGTCAGGTAAATTGTAGTTTTTCAGAGAGGGAGAGAGAGAGAGTTGATCTCAAGCTTCAAACTACACCACGTGATAGACTCTACTGCTTATGTCTCTCTGCTCTCCTTTTCACTTTCAACTGTCCAACTCCAAATCGTCAAACCTCTGTCTTTCTCTCTCTAAAAACCTCTGTAATTTAGATCTCGCTTGCGATGGGCAAGGCCTCAATAATCATATACATAACTATAGCTCTTCTTTTTATTTTACTAGTAACTCATACTCCAAAAAAACCATCAAACCTCCGCAACCGCCGCATCAAGATCCGGAATAACTTCGACTTCGACCCCCGCCGCCACAACCACAACCATGAACCCGTGCCTTTTGACCCTCTTGTTGCTGACATTGAACGCAAACGTGAAGACAAGGAATGGGAGAAACAGTACTTTGAACATTCACATCATGAACTTGTTCATCACTCTGATGCTCCTGGTCACGAGTCACAGCCTGAGTGGGAAGATTTTATGGATGCTGAAGATTATGTGAATGATGAAGAGAAATTTAACGTCACTAATAGGCAAGTAAAGATGGGCTTTTTTGTTTTCTTGTGTTGAGGATTAGACTTTTGTGGGTGTTTTTGTGATAAAGTTTGAATTTTTATGGTGTTTATGCTGTCATTAGTAGATAATAAAAAAAAGGGTTTCGTGCATTTTGCATTATGTGTTAAACATTGGTTTTTTGTGGTCCTTTTATGTCATAAAGAATGGATTTTTTATGGTGTCTATGTCGTAAAGATTGAATTTTTTGATGCGGATGGATAGGTTATTGGTGTTATTTCCAAAGATTGATGTGGAACCAGTGGATGGTTATGTGAGTGAACATGAATTGACTGAGTGGAATTTGAAACAATCTGAGAAGGAAGTTATGCATAGAACTAAAAGGGAGATGGATGTTCACGATAAAAACCACGATGGGTCTGTTTCATATGCCGAGTATGAGCCACCTAGTTGGGTACATAATACAGGTAACTGTCTTTACTCCTTACCTGTAATACATTATTATATTTACAGATGTTTGTATCAACATTCTCTTATGTATTTGAGTTATATATTTGAAAAGTTTATTCCCATTCTATTTAGGATTTTTTCAGTTGGGGTTTTCATTAATAAGAGTATTGTGTAAAATCATCTTTTCCAGAATGAAAGTTAACAAGCTACCCATTTTACTGGACCGAGGCCTAGTGCATCATGCATAGGTTATGGTTCTACCCTCTAAATTAGTGATGGATATCATTAAACAACATTCTGGGTTAATTATCAAAGAAACCACTAATATTGTGGTTGGAGTTAGTTGATTTGGGGACTTTTCTGGAAGCTGCTCAGAGAACAGATGTTGCTCTTGACACTGTGTCCATAACGATTTTGCCAGACACCTAAAATTACATTGAATCATGTGTTAGCATATGCCCTTTACCATTACTAACAAAGTTCCTTTTGTTTCCCCCTGAATTCTTTCTTTGAGGACCTGTGTCAGCATTCTGTTGTTTTTGAAATTTTTTGTGCAACTGTAAATAGCTGATTGCAGAGCTATAAGCCATCATGACCTTGTTTTATGTGATTTTCAGATAAAAATTCTTTTGGCAATGATATGGGTTGGTGGAAAGAAGAACATTTCAATGCATCAGATGCAGACGGAGATGGTCTTTTGAATCTAACTGAGTTCAATGAGTGAGCTTCTACTTTGATTACCAAGTTCAAATTTGGAAAAAGATATAACTTGTTTACTTGTTTCTGATTGATGGTTGTGCATTTCCTAATTCTTCTATAAAATCTTTCAGCTTTCAACATCCTGCTGACAGCAAGAACCCAAAGCTACTTCAATGGTTGTGCAAGGAGGAAGTAAGGTGACAAAGATTACATCAATCTGCTTCTCTAAGAAATTTGTACTTTGCCTCTTCTTCTAACCTATGTATTCTTTGATTTGCCTTTTGACTTTGGCTTTTCTGGGAGAGATTGAGGGGGGTGGGGCCAAGCCTGACGTTTGAATCTTACCAATCAAAAGGAAAGAAAAGCTGAACATTCTAAAAGTTGCACCCCAGTTTCTACCTGCTTCATTTTCCTCCATTTAACCATCCAACCTAACTATTCTAGAAGTCAAAATCAGAGTATGGATTGGTGGAATCCACATCAACTTCTAATTCTGTGCTTCTCTCAAAGTTCAAACACAGAACAATAATTTCTTACTTGATTCATATAATCCAAGGGGCTATGTTTTAGAGACATTTCCTGGACTTTTTTTCTGACATTCATATGTTTTCTTTTTTTCCACAAGCTGTTTAAGTTCAAAATTGTGGAAACTTTTAGAAGGAAAATCTGGAGAAATGTTTCCATCTGGTTTGGAATTGATATGAACATAAGCACATAAAAGGTTCCAATAAACAAGTGGATAGTCTATTCCAGCATGGTGAGCTTGGATTTAGAACTCGTGGTCCTTGCAGATAAAAATGGGGAGCAAGGTCAGGAACAAAAATATTTTAATATAGGCCTGCAGAATGTAGTACTTTCTCCTTAGTTTCTAGGTTCCTGTTGTAATGAATTAAATGCTTTGCCAATCAAAATTCACTTATTTATCAGATGTAGTTACTCTTAGTCACTTTTAAATGTTTCCTTCTGTTAGGGAAAGGGATTCTGACAAAGATGGGAAGGTTAACTTTCAAGAGTTCTTCCACGGGCTATTTGACTTGGTGAGAAATTATGATGAAGAAGGTCATAATTCTTCCCATCCGTTGGATGATTCAGTGGAGGCCCCTGCTAAGAAGTTGTTCAATGAGCTAGACAAAGATGGTGACGGGTATTCGTCTAGTATTCTCTGTCTGTTTACTTTTTTCTTTCTTTGCTGCTTATTCTTTAGTATTCTTTGACTAGTACAAATGGTTTAGAAGTTACATTAATACTGATTTGGCTGTGTGTCCTTCATAGATTTTTGTCAGATGTAGAATTGCTACCTATAATTGGGAAACTTCATCCTTCAGAGCGTTACTATGCTAAACAACAAGCTGATTACATCTTGTCACAGGTATTTTCTTGACTGCAAATGGCTTTTATGCCTGATTGATGATTGATGTATGAATGTGTGCTTGCTTACAGTGTTGCCTTTGTATTTTGTATTAGAAACATGACAATGTTTTTATGAGCACAATATGACAATTGAGCTGATATTTTGAGTGTAGAAGCTCTGTTCTTGAACATTGTATGAAATCTGTTGCAGGCAGATACAGATAAAGATGGACGGCTATCATTGACAGAGATGATTGAGAATCCATATGTATTTTACAGTGCTATCTTCAGTGATGAAGATGACTATGACATACATGATGAGTTCCGTTAATTTTGCTAGGTAAGCGGTAATGCGATGCTATCTTTTAAATAATAATAATGATAATCATTCAAGCTATGTTTTGCACTTAAAGGTTTATTTATTTTATTTTCTGCATTATTTATTGCAGGATATTTCTCAGATTAGAAAAACAGCAGTAGAACTCAAATTCTTTTGTAGCAAGAGTTTAATGGTTTATACATCAGTAATGGTGAAGTTTTTACAACATTCACGAGGATTATGCACCACAATTTTCATTCTTGGTGAGTACTTGTGCGGTCATATAATTCCACATTTATTATTTTGTTTTTTGAATGGTTTAAGTTGCACAAAATTAAGATTTTTATTCTCATTCTTGCAGATCATTTTGGTGCCCAACTCATTCTGTAATGAAATTTGCCACTGGACATAGTTGGACTATCGACTTTCTGGAAAAAAGTTGTTGAACTACATATGATTTTTAGATTTTTGGTTTTCAGTTTCTGACATTTCTATCTATTTCACATGTATGTATTATATAAGACGAAAACATCATTTAGAGTGAAGCAATTTGAAGTAACAGACAGTAGCTTTGTACACTGTTGAAAATAAGTTTAAAAAATTATTAGTGAAGGCATTGATTAGGCAAATATAATTTCTTTCTTTTTCTGATTTGCTACCGTCTTTATTTTTCAAGTTAAAGACCGATCAAAATCAATGGATCAAGCAAGCTTGATTTACCAACCGGAACAGGTTGCATTGAGCGGATGTTACATGGTGCAGATTGACAGCGAAATGAATCTCAGTTGTGTAAATTACGTTTGCGAGGTACTGAATCATTCCCATCATTGGAGTCCTGAGAAAAACTTGCGACTCTAATTGCAAAGCCGGCTAGATCACTGTAGAATTTGCTAGAAAGTCTTGGAATTTTTGCGAACATTTGCTTCTACGAAAGGTAGTTCGAACATTTGCCCCCATGAAAAGTAATGGGCATCCCATGTTTTTTATTTATCGGATGTGTTCTTAGAATCAACGTGTAACCACTCTGTCATCAACCAATCTCTAAAAGGGAACCAACACTGTTCTCCTGTTGATGTTGCTTTGTTGCAGATCACAACTCATTTCATTTCCTGGGGATTGAAAGGACAGCTGGAAAATCTAAACGATTAAATGACAGAGATCAAAGCTGTGCTCTAGGATGCTGAGAAAAGGAAAGGGACAGATGAAAAAAATGTTTTGCATCCTGTTCCAGTTTTCCAAAAGGTTTTGACATTGAAAAGGAACAGCTATTTCAACTTTGGATGGCTGAAGGTTTCCTTGGGCCATCTAATGGGAGGATGGAAGAAATAGGCAGCCGGTGTTTTAATGCCTTGCTCGCAAATTCCTTTTCCAAGATGTCAAAAGCAATGAGTACGAGATCGTAACAAGTTGTAAGATGCATGCTCTTGCATTATTGGTCTCAAAATCAGAAACGTTAACTCTAGATGCTGGTTTTGCTGTAGATGATACATCTCGTATTCATCATCCGATGATGAGATTCTTAGCATGCCTTCAAACATTGCCATTTTTTGTTGCGGGTCCAGATAAGGGTCATAAGATTGAAGAGCTGGGATGTTTGCATTAGATGATGTGATAAGCTCATCAGTGTTCCTGATGGATTACCTTGAATCAAAAATTTATCAATGTCCGAATCTGACTAATTTTCCAGAGGATTGCTTACACTGCCTGAGCATTGGTGGTTTCTCAGAGAAGCTGGAGGCTTTTCCTAGTATGATTTCAATCCCTTAAAATCCTAAGGATGTATGGATGGGAAGTGTGTACCACATAGAAGCTTTGCCTGATTGGTAGCCCAAAATTTCATCTCTTCGATATCTTCAGATTTGAAACTGTAGAATGTTCAAGTAATTTTCATTTTATTATTTCTATGCAGTGGTTCTAAATGAATTAAAGCTAGTCAAATGAAATAGGTGCAGAATCTGAAACACTAGTGTGTTATGTGGAAACTTGATTTTTTTTCATGAATTCAACCCCTTAAAAAATGGGAAGAGTTGATTCAGAAAGGTAAAGCTAGATGCTTGTCAGCTTATTTTTTATGGTGACAAATTAAGGGTTTCTGATCAAAATTCCTTGGTGACAGCTTCTGGATTTGTTCCTCGGAGAAAACATTCTGCGCTTTCACAATGGGAAGAGTTGAAGACTTTGGCAGACATGCATGGAGATGATGTCAGTCTTTTTCAAAAAACCACACTTTACAAGCAAAAAAAAAAAAAAAACTGTTTCTGTTGAACTTCTACCATCAATTGGTTTCCCTTTCTTTTTTTTTTTTTCCTTTCTCTCTCAACTCAATTGATATCTTTCCAGCTTTGCTTAATTTTTAATATTTTGTCAGCAATCCTAGCTGCCTGATTTTTCCATGTTTATGAATCTACTACTTCATTGTTTTCTACTTGATTTATGGCTGAATTGTACAGAGCATATGGGCAAGAAAAAGAACATTTTGTCTTCTCCATAGGGGCTCCGCTAAAGCCCTTGATAAAGTTGTAGAATTTGATGGTATGTGCACCAGTCCACTGGTTATCATCCATGCCTTCCTGTATTTACTAGAACAACACTAAAGTTGTGAATGTTGCAGAAACAAGGAATAGGCCATTATAATCAAAACAACGACACATGTTGTTATGAAGAAGATGATTGGGGTTTGTATTTTTCCTTCAATATAATTCAAACCATCTTTTCTGCTTTTCCTCTAATGGAGAATTCTTCTTGTATGATCATTCATTGCAGGATACTAAGCAAAAAGAAAAGTTGGTGGTTGGGATTGCTGGCAACCCCACGGACCGTTGCTACAAAGATGCAACAGTACAAAATACACTGGCCAAAATTCCTATGGGCTAGCATAAGATTCAGAAGCCAAATTCAAAAGTGAAAAGTGACTGTTCTGCCTTCTTTCTTAAGCAAGCATTTGATGGAGCTTGGACATATATTGTTTCTAATCCAGTTGCACATGAAGAACATTTGCTAAGGAATAAAATTATAAGATTTCCTTTCATAAAATCTCATCTCCAGACCCATAAAAGAGCCAAGAAGTTGTTTGTCTAGATAGACAAAGATGGTGACAGTTTTTTAATATTCATTAACAAGTAATTATTCCACTAATATTTAACAAGTTATAGTCTGACTTGGTTGTATCCTTCGTATATATATTTGTTATGCGCAGAATTACAACTTGTCAAGGACTACCACATCCATTGTGAAGTCTATTAATTTTATGCATGTCTATATCATGTTTCTCTTGGGAGATGAAAATCTTTCTTTTTAGTTGATTCATAACAATTCAAAGGAAATGCTTCATAAATTCTAAATCTGTCACTGTATATTCTTTTATCATCACATTCTTAAATTCTCCAACCCTTTCAGCATTGATATTTGTATATATCATATCATCAACATAAAGGCAAACCACCAAAAATTATGCCTCTTTTTTCTTTACATAAAATGATGACTAAGATTGACTTCTAACAAAACCAAAATTTTGATGAAAATATGAATTTATCCTATTGTTTCATACTTGTGGATTTTGTTTTAAGTTGTAAGAGCTTCGTGAAGCTAACAAATCTTTTCTTCTTTTTCTTTCATCACATAACCTTGAAGTTGCTCTACGTAAACCTCTTTCTCTAATTCTCATTAAGAAAAGCTAATTAACTTGACATCAAGTTGATAAACCTATAATTGTAATTGGACTTCCAAAGTAAGAATAATTCTTATAGTTTCCATCCAGTTAACGAGGGCAAATGTTTATGTGAAGTTTACTCTAGGATGTTGTCGGTCATCCTTTGCAACAAGTTATGCCTTGTGCTTTTATATATTGCCATTTTTATTATTTTTAGTCTTGTAGACTCATTTTAAACCGATTTATTTCTTTACTTTTAGAAGATTCATTGACTTCTAGGTCCGGTTTTTCTCAATACTTGCTATTTATGCATTCATAGTTTCACCATATTTTCTCTCTTATAGCTTCTTTAAAGCATTATGGCTCACAAGCAAAGAAAGAAATATTATATGAATTGTGAATATCACTACGAGTACCATCATGGTAGTGAGTCCGAATCTAAATTATCATTTTAAGAGTTGGCCCTTAATATGCTAGCTCTATTTTGAGAAGTTGTGCCGACTCCATTTTGATAAGCCATATTTAATCACCTAGCTATCTTATAGCTTTAAGAATTCAAATGTTACAAGCACATGATTAACCTCTTTTTCCTACTTTCATCATGTTATCTCATAAAATATAACATCTCTAAAAGGTACCAACTAATTTTTTTGAGGATTGAAAAGCCAAAATCTTTTAGACTCATCATTTTACCGAACAAAAATGTGTTTCTTACCTTTCTCATTAAACTTGTCTCTATTTAGAGGAAAAAAAAAAACAAACAAGAGCATAAGCATTGCGACCAAAAACTTTGATCTAGCTAACTACTAGTTGACAATTATGCTAAAATTTGAATGGGCTTCAATTGTGAACTATTTTTTATTAGAGAATGATTGAGAATGTCGGTTATCAAGTTGATAGCTTCGATCTCTTCTATCATGCAATTCTTTCTTTTCTACCAATCCATTTAATGAGTGTGTTTCGCTATAATTTGCCTCTAAATTCCATCCTCCTTATAATAATCAAGAAAAGGGTTTGTATAAAAACTTTCCTCTATGATTAGCTCTTAATATCTTTATTTGATAGCCTCTTTGTCTCTCTACAAAAGCTTTGAATTTCAATATATATATATAGAGAGAGAGAGAGCATCTCATTTCTTATCAAGAAAATAATATAAAAAAATCCCCTATTACTTAGAGATATAGTTATAAATATCTCTATGTATCAACTTTAGAGGTAAGGGTTTGTATCAACCTTTATAAACTTTAATCTTGTTCGAATTGAGAAAAGGCCAATTATTGTGTTTTTTTTTTCCAATTATTTCAAGCTATTGAAGTTCAAATAGTCATATCTCAAATGCCATAAATAAGATTCATTAACATGC